TTTAACATATTTATTACCTTTAATAATAGATGCATTTATATTTTTATGGTGCTTATTTATCTAAATAAATATTTTCTATTTTTTTTTTTAATTTCAAAAATAAATAACATATAATGTAATATATTAATATTTATTTCCTTTTTTTACATAAATAATGAAAAGACCAAGCATTCTAGAAAACAAATTTATTTTAAACTTACCTTAAAATAAACTGCTCCACACGCTTCACCAATAAAATGAATTTCCCTTAAATATTATAAAAGAAGAAAATGGACCACTGCCCACTGCACTTTCAACAAATTCAACTGTTAATATTCGCAACGTTTTAAACATGTATCAACGTAGTTTAACTGTATTCGTTGAAATTATTGTCAAAGGCAACGCCGGTTTTTAACGATAATTGCTAAAAGAATACAGTTTTATGCAAATCAGTAGAGCTTTCGGGTTTTCCGCAAAACACTGCAATAATAAGAGCACGGTGCAGGCACAGTTCACGGTGAATAGCGACCGATAACACTATCCATCACCCCATTATCTAGGCAACTTGAAGTTAGCAGCGAAAGCGCACGTCAAAATATACCATAAATAAAACCGTATGGCGGGGTGCGCCCCATCCCCCGGCATTCGATCGACGGCGGCGTCAACGAGTACGAGATTGTGAATCGAAATTTTGAAAATTTACTACGATTAAATCGATGCCGAGTGACTTTAGTCCGCGTTTACCGACGACTATCGTTCCCTTTAAGCTAAAGTCGCCAGCAAGACGCCGTGTGAGGGGGCGGCGTCTCGTATAAACTCGTATTACAATACGTTAAAACGCCTCCAGCACTCGACGACTGCAGTCATAGTGCGAAACATTCTCAAGCAGGCTCTTGTATACACAACCAATTAACCTTAACGTTAATGATGCTTTCACATTTGAAAGTGGAAGAGATTTTACAGTTTTACGCTCAGATAAATACGCTTAGGGCGGATCTCATAAATCTTATGTGAACTATATAGAATTGTTATACATGTTTCAATATTGGGTATATCTAAATCTTTTGGGGTGTAAGACATTAAAAGGGAATAAAATATTACCTAGCATTATTACTACCCTTAGGCGAAAGGGATAAAAAGAAAACCTAACAGGAAAGCCCTTTTAGCCGGATATAAGACGCGTGGAAAAAGGAGAGCGACTATTCTTCCGGTTCATATCCTTTTATACATTTCATTACTTCCGCCATGTGTGGACGTGGATCGGGGGGCTTCGGGAATATTCGGGCGTGTTCGGTGGGACTCGGTTAGGCCGATTCTACTAATCGATAGTCAAGCTACCAACATGTTACGTTCAACGTAGATACTACGACGCGTAGCTTACTACAGCTACCCGACTGAATTGAAAAGTCGACGAACTTGACTCTGCCGGTCTCCGCTCACTGTTTGTTCTGTCTCGGTACAACAGGGTTAATTGTTTCGCTGCTCGAGCGAAGTCGAGAACTTTAGTTGATACAAATATAGCAAATAGCACTGGAAATTAAGTTCACGTCTCGTTGGAATGAACACTTCGCAATTAGATTGCGCTAACGATGTTTTAAGTTAGAAAACGTATCAGTCTCGACTAACTTTAATAATAATGTTTAGATGTTCACCTGCAACTCACTAATTAGTACCTAATTGCAATGTAAAGCTGTATAGATATAATCTCTACTTATTTTCAGTTTAGTCAAAGTTGTTTTAAAAAATATGTTTTTCCTTAGAAACTAAATTAATTATTGGGAGAAACATAATTATAGACGAGAACACTCACAAAATAATTCAAATGCGAGTCGGACACCAAAGGTTTCCCTATCGTCTATCACCACAACATATATTTTTGCCTCGTATTAGAAATAACCACGAGTATAATATGGATAGTTATTCGTTCTTAAAGTTTAAGAGTTTAGACTTTGTAACATTATAATTCTTGTACGTAAATTACAACTGTTAGGACATTATTACTGTGTAAAGAGCAAAAGTCTTCTTATACTTTAAGTATAGCTAATTTAAAAATTATCTTATTTCCTAGAAAGTAAAATAAAAATTAAAAGAAAAATATATAATGATCGGTAATCGCAAAAAGCAAGTAAAAAAAAATGTCAAACGAGTTGGACTAACGCACCGAGAATTTCATATTACCAAACGGTACCTATATTAATGTTATGTATTTGCAAAAAAATAAGAGCTAATGTTTTATTGGTTGAAAAATAGTCCGACTCTTTGGCTACTAATTTATTATTAACTTAAATTAGAAAAACAAAAACAAATATATCCCACGGGGACCGTACACTTTTCCGGGATAAAAAGTAGCCTAAGTGTTATTCTGATTTATGAGCTATATATTGTAAAGTTTCATTAAAATCTATTTAGTAGTTTTTGCGTGAAAGAGTAACAAACATCCATACATCTATATATCTAGACATCTAAACATCCTCACAAACTTTCGCAGTTATAATATATTAGTATTCATTAGTATAACTATAGATTGTTATTTATCTATAGGGTACCTACCTACCTACAACGAACTTTACATATTGCTACGATAGGGCAAAAACTATTTTGATTTCTACAAATATCTGTATAAAACTATACATACGAAATCAAGCAGACCTATCCCACGGGAACCGTACATTTTTCCAGGATAAAAAGTAGTTGTTGTTGTGTTATTCTAGACTACAATTTATCTCTGTGCCTTTCATCCAGATCCATTCAGCCGTTCTGGCGTGAAAGAGTAACAAACATCCATGCATACTCACAAACCTGCACATTTATAATATTAGTAGGTATAGATAATTACCGATTTAGCTAATTTTTTGATCAAAGCTAGTCAAATCAGTCCGAGTAAGGTTTTTAGGAGAAAAATCGAAAATGTTGCTGAAAATCAGAAAATTTGGGAGAAACTGAAAGTGCATTTTTCTACAGCATTTTTATTTATGTAACATAAATTTATTGAAATTTTGAAGCAACAAGGAACCAGGACAACATTAATGTAAGTTCAGTTTGTTTAATATCGATTTAAAGTAACTATTATTAATACATTTGTTTTAAGATTTTAGAGTTGTACCTTTTAGAAAGTGTTTACTAACACCATAATGTACTTAATCTAAGCTCTATTTTTTAAATATATTCTTATTTTATTCTTCATTACTGCATATTTAAAAAAACTTCTTTACGCAGAATTTTGGCTAACGTCTATTATACAAACCTATAAATATCTCAAGTCACGGTGTTTGTGGTCGCATTCCTCCGAAGCGGCTCGACCGATTTTAAGATTTTTTTTTTATATTTGGTAGGTATGAGAATATGTCATAAAGTATTTTTCACCCCCCTAGCCCCAACCCCAATTTTTAATCACGAATTTTTAAAGTATGTATAACAAAGCCAAAGAGTTTTTTTGTGTAGATTGAGCGCGGGCGTAGCCACGGATTCTGCTAGTGATAACATAATATAATAACATTCATTTTGCTATTTGCATATATTTTTTATTCTTTAACGAATAAAGTAAAGTATTTGATACATAACTTGGCTACAGAATTCTGTAATGATTAGCCATACCTACCAAATTTTAGCAATGTAGCTCCAAATTCCAATAGTCTTCAAAAAAAGTGGCGGTGACATACGGACGGATGTGCATGACGAAATTATAAGGGTTTTAGCTACATAGGTATTTGGCTACAGAACTCTATCATACGTTTTATATTTTACGGTAAAGCTATTGATTAAAAACAGAATCATAAAATTCGATCCACTATTGACAAAGATATCACAAAATACCTATATAAAAAAATATACTTATGTAACACATACATTGAGTACTTCTTGCATTATTAGGTCAAAAACATGGATCACTAATAGTAATAAGTAATATACAGATAAATAAAATTGAAGTGTCTGTTTGTAATGTCAAAATAACAGCGTTTTACTAAATGCATATGACTTTATATACAGTATTTATAAAAAAAAACACAATGATTTAAATTTATGTCTGTCTGTCTGTTTGTTCCGGACAATGTCTGAAACGGCTGGACTGATTTTGACGGGACTTTCACTGGAAGTTAGCTGATGTTATAGGTAGTAACATAGGCTACTTTTATTTTAGAAAAAGAATTAGGATTCCGCTCAAAAAAATTAAACCGTACCTAGGGATGAACCCGAACGAAGCGAGGGTGAGTCGCTAGTCTATACTAACATTATAAAGAGGAAAGATTTGTTTGTTTGTACCAAATAGGCTCCGAAACTACTGAACCGATTTAGATGAACTTTGGTAAGAATATAGTTTAAGACCCTGGGAAGGACATAGAATAGTTTATATCCCGGAAATCATCCCTTAAGGGAGTGAAAATTGGGGTGAAAATTTGTATGGGGAAGCAACTAGGGACAAAAACGAGTGAAGCGAGGGTTAGTCGCTAGTTACTAATAAAAGTCAAAAAGTGGTAAATAATTTTTTTGTGGCTTTTATTTGGCTCATCATACTTTAAAGTTTCTTTTTCAAGTTCATGTATTAGCGGTAATTACATTTTCTAGTTTTGACTGTTTTCAAAATTACCATTAGCAGATATCGGTTACTTTATTATCTGCGATAATTTGGTATAGATTTTTATACACTTTGTCCAGTGGCAGCACAAACAGGATAGCCTAGTATTAATATTATACAAAACGCTAATTTTAATTATGTAGGTATAAATCATCTGTTTACTTCAGATAAAAAAATTGAATAGGTAAGTACTGAACGAAACTACTACCATGGATGACAAATAAAAACTACTACTATGTTCATGTCACTCAGTGACTCAAGTCAGTCACGTCACTGTCATTTCACGACGTGAGTTGACAATTTGTCAAAGACGTGCAAACTGCAATGCAAAGTTGCTCGAATTTTATTATTTTTATTATATTTAAACATTTTTTAAATGTTAATACAACCTTCTTATACATAATTTAACTTAAAAAAGGAATTTAATGCTACGATGGAAAAATTAAAAATGTTGACGTGGGTATTATTTAATTACAGAAAATATTATAAAATACCTAAATGCAACAAGTAGAAGTTTAATATTATTTTTGATCCTATTTTCAGGGGCTATGAGCTTGTATCAAAAGGTACCACTAAACTAGAAGCTACATTACCAGAAATAGGTTTAAAAGATGTTTTCCCAAACGGTTCCTGGTTAGAGCAGAAACAAATACAAACAGCATTGGAAGCAAGGAAACATTTAATTGAAGTTGAACGAATAGAAAAGAGGTATATAAACAAATTATGCTTATTTTTAACCAAGTTATTAAAGTTACTTTATAATAAATCATAAAATCGTCTATATTTAAAAAAAATGTGTTAAAAATGTCTTTTATTTATAAATAAATGAATTTTGTTTTAACATTTAAGAAATGAAATGCAGAGTTTTTATACTTTATAATATTACTTTAAATTATAATAAAAATTTTGAAACTATTTTTAGTGGTGTTTTGAGTCATGCAGTGTGGCGAGAAGAGCTTATGTTAGCTGAAGTGACCCAAAAAGTTGGTGGTTACTGGCAATATTTGGGACATAACAAAGGAAAAGATTTATTTCTCAATCCAGAAGAAGCCTTATTTTTAATGGAAATTGTGAGTTTGTGTTAAAATAAAAAATAACATGCATATATATATAACAGATTAAAAACTTATCAAGTTGAAATTCCCTATAGATTATATTTAACATAAAGCTAATATGGGTTGTTAGTTCAAAACAAAAAACTCACCTACCATATCTGATTTAGGTCCATCACTAAGCACTAGATAAAATAATTGTTTCTTTCAACGAACTAAAAATAAGAGAATATTAATTACCAAGCTATCTGTTTCTGATGATTTTTGATTTGGATCTGTCTTCAATTTTAATTTAGTGTCTATGGAGCACTATCCATAGTAGATGATGAAAATTTCAAAGTATTAATATTGACAAAATCCCTAATTACCTTCAATGGGGTAGAGCGGAATAGGCAAATATAACTTTAGCTCTTGATAAAATCTCTTTACTGTATTTCCTTTAAATGATTGTTTAAATTTCGTTTTTCATATTCCCAAAAATATAAGGCATCCCTCCAGATTCTGCACTTTATATACTAAAGTGATTAAAAAATTTACTGAATATAAATGTTAAAGTTATGTAAAATATAATGTACAAAAAAGACATACAAGGTATTACTTGCAGTATGTATAAAAATGTTATACATACATATATTGTTGTGAAGTTTTCATAGATAAAACAATATAAAATAACTAGTGACACACCCTCTCTTTGCTTGGGTTCGTCCCTAGGTACATTTTTTTTGAGTGGATCTGTAATTCTTTTACTAAAATAAAAGTAGCCTAAGGTACTCCTTATAACATCAACTACTTGCCAGTGAAAGTCCCTTCAAAATTGGCCAAGCTGTTTTGGAGATTAGCCATAACAAACAGAAAGAAAAATTTTATAAACAGACACTTCAGTTTTATTTATCTGTATAGATGATCATTAACTCATTATTTTCATAACACAAACCACATAATGAATTATAATAAATAAAGTTGTTAGTAATATATTCTCACTTCTTTCAGAACTGTCTTCATTTAACACATAATGATGTCAAAGTTTCATTACAACAGGCATATACTTTATTATTACGAGGGAACATTTCTCTTTTAGAGTATAAAGTGTATGCATCTCTTAGTCGTTTAGGATATCGAGTTTTTAGACATCAAATTGTAGAAACTAATAAGAAAAATATTTCTCATAATGAAAATATTGATATCAAACCGAACATGGAAGTAGATAGTACTGTGACTTTGGAGAAAGATAAAAGTAACAGTGAGAGTTTCGAAGATCTAGAAGAATGTCATACAGAAAATAATTCAATTTGTAAGTCACAATTATATATTACTCACCTCAGCACACCCTCACTTCACTTCGGCTTCATCCTCGGTGAAAATCAAAAACAAATCAATCCCATCATAACGATATATTTTTCCAAGATAATTTTTTTTATTGTCATATCAGACTGTAATCTATCTGTGTTAAATTTCATCTAGTTCCGTTGAGCCATTCTGGTGTGAAAGAATAACAGACATTAGCCATTCACCCTCACAAACTTTTACATTTATAATATTAGTATGGATTCGTAACTAACAATTGCATACTATTAAGTAATTAGTAATACTTAACATGTCCAGTGTAATAACTATAAAAAGATGAAAATTGTACAAATTTCGGACAGATGTTCAATTAATTCTTAGTTTTTTGGCTTTTGGGATAATAAGATGTTAGTTATTCTATAACAAGGGAATATTTACATCAGATATAAATTTAAAAAAAATGTACCCATTCCATACAATAATTGGCACCAACCGGATAAAAATCAGTAATCTAGCAATTACAAAATAGTTTTTCTACTATGTGTTCATTCTGTGCAATAAAATAAAATAGAATGTGTTAGACAGACAGACACACAAGTGATAATCTCATTTATAGGATCCATGTTTTCCTTTTTAAGACAGAATCCTAAAAAGCTTATATTTTAAATTATTAACCATCTTTCATCTGTTTTGGTTACTGGTCATAATAAATTAATGGGGACTTAACCAAGGTAAAAATGATTTTTTGGCATATTAGGTATATTTTATAACAATAATTTATGTAACTTGTTTTTCAGATTGTGAAAGTTCTACAACGGATTTTACAGTCGTTTCCAGTTCAGAAAATCAGATTAAACATAAAAACATATATAGAGTAAAAAGGCTAGAAAAATTGAAAAACCGCAAACTGAAACCTTGCAAAAGTGAAAATTTGCATGAGTATTTTAAATCCATACCTATCACTTTGAACAAAACCTTAGTTACTGTTAAAGTAGCGGACAAAAAATATTTACCAGATGGTTTAAATTTAAGTAAGTCGGTTTATTGTATTGATCTTAAAAAATTACACCGCAAAGTTGAAAGTCCGCCGGTTTCAGAAAGTAACCGGTACAGTCCAGATGTTGAAGTCAATGGGAGTCATATACGGCGATTGAGAAACACCAGCTATAGATCAAACTATCCGAATCCGCCAGATCAAAATTTTGGTTTCCTAAACCAAGGTTTTCCAAGACCATTTTATTTTTGGAGGCACCGTTCAAATTTTAACTATTTCAATCTAAATATGCTATTTCAGAGACCTTTCCTACCGAATATGTTCTTTGTACCGCCATTTGGATTCATACCGCGACCGCAACAACATTTTCGACATAATTTCTATCAAAATTATCGAAATAAAAAACGAAATAGAGGGAACGCTCAAACAGAGCATTTAGAAGCAATAAAGAATTTAACTATGAGATTAAAAAATCTTTTCCTAAATGGACATACAGACAGACAGAACGTGGCCGCGCTTCAAAGACTCATTCAAACTTACAACACGAGATATAAAACAAATATAAGACTTAGCGATGATTTTGATCTTATTATGGAAGAAATTGTAGACACAATACATTTAGATGATGATGAACCTATAAGTAAAAAACGTCGTGTTGATGATACAGCTGCTGTTTTACAAGAAAACCTGAATTCTCTTAAAAGATTTGCCACACAATTGAAGGATTTAGAAAAGATAGGAAAATCTTCGCCCAGACACAGGCGAGCCTTCTCGAAACTTCTCAAAAAGTTTAATCAGTCTTACAACGAAGAGTATTACTTAACGGAAAATTACGAATTAGGTAATAAAACGCATATAACTATAGATACATCTGATTCATCACATTCAGATTGCGTTATAGAAAACACCCCTGTAGAGTTTCCCGTTGGTAAGAAATTGAAGAATCCATTTAATATATTAAAAAGATTGTCAGAACAACAAAAAGAACTTTTCAATGAAGCATCCACAAGTAGAGAAGAGAATAATGTGATCATTCAAAATATACCTTACAGTCAAACTTTATTAGATGCATTTCCATCGGATTGGTTGCCGAAGGCTTCCGATTTTGGAAGAGCTGAAATTGTACAAAAAGATACGACAGAAGATTTATTGTTAGATATAAGTCAAGAGGAGTTTTTGTACGACTTTGTTAAAATCCAACCAGGCAAATCAAATGATTGGTTGAGTTTAAAGAAATCATATTTCAATACCATTAATGAAGCCGTTCCAGAGTTTCAAGATTCTATGGACTTTAACGTTAATTCGATTGTAAAGCCTCAAGATTGTTCCAATATGGCGTCAGTGCTTAAAAAGTTGAGTATAATTAAGACGGAGAAAAGAGTGAAGGAAGACTGCAATCTAGTGCTACATTTTGATGTATATAATAGAGATGTGCAAAGTTTTAAAAAAACTAACCCTCCTGTACCACATTTTCGGATTATTTGTTTAAGGTAGGTAATATCTGTTTAATTTTTATTTCTATTAATATTTATTTTAAGTGCCTGTAATGTCAAAATAACAGCTTTTTACTAAATTGCATATGGAATTATGTATGGTGCTTATAAGAAAAACACAATTTTTATTTTTTGTCACTGTCTGTTTGTTTCGGCTAATCCCTGAAATGGCTGGACTGATTTCCACGGGACTCTTATACTTAGGCAACATTTTATCCCGGAAAAATGTACGGTTCCCGTGGGATAGATTTGTTTTTCTTTTTAAAAAATAGTTAAAAAATATTTGCCAATTCATAATTCTTATAATTGCATTGTTCTTTTTAGCGAATCTTCGAATATGCCTCCCGGAGACGAGATTGCTGCTCTACACTCGAAGTACGAAGATAATGTAGCCATTGTATTTGCTATTGTGGGTGATTCTATTTCTTATGTGCAAGTGAATGCGACGGACATACCTGTGTATATATCAAACGATACTTAATTTACATTATTTTGGTCATTAATTATTACTTATTTATCATATTATGTTACATGTACATACAAAATTTCAACTCTAGTCCTAAATATCTGTGGATATCAGAACAGACAAAATAGTGTACTTTGATATATGTATGTACCTATATATAAATAATGCTATAAACTTTAAGCTCTACAGAGTAAAATCGCCTTGCAGACTTTAAAATCCAAGGTATTATATAAAAAATATTATAGTGGATTGCAATTTGCATGTATGGGTGCAGATTCTGGGTCCGAGTCCTCGGTTCGTCGGTCGGTTATTACCGGTTTAGTAATCATCATCAGTTAAAAAAGTAATAGATACACAATCATCGACAAAAAATATCCTCACCGAATGAGCGCTCATTTGAACATTAGAGCGCGCTTTTAATTTTTTTTTTGGGAAAACAACTTTAAACATTGTATTTAAGGTTCAATTTATATTGTTGTGTATTTATTTCAACTGGAATAATGACCTAAATACAATTGGTGACAGTTTTAAGAGAACTTTTGCATGATACTGTGTATCTAGTACTTTTTTGATCGATGGTAATAATCATACATAATATATACCATACTAGTATAGTATGTATGATAATATAACTTGAATTTAGTATCAAAAACATAACAGATATTAATTTGATTGTTTTTTTTAATTAATCGAGTTTGATCTTTATGAGCAATACTATTGACTAGCTAGAGAAGTGACGTGCTTTTTGTTTCCAAAAAAACGGGTTCCATTTTCGTGCCATTACTGTGTATATTTAACTATTACACATGAATTTAGCTATATGCACTCACTTGCAAGTTTTTTCTTATTTATTATGTACAATAGATAATACATAATGTATGTAAAACGCTTTATTTGTCTCATGCTTCAATAAAGTTATAAACAATATTTTTTATGTTAGTTAACTATTATGATTTCATTTGATACTCGAACTATTATTTTAATTGAATAATTAAATTAAAATAGTGTCGCAAGCTGAAGACATCTCGACGTGTACTCGCGGAAGAAAGATATAAAGAAAACAATTGCCACGTATATATGTATATCAAAACTATTGTCACCTTAATGTGGTCTTTATTTAAGTGTTTTATACATGGATCATAAAAATACTAGATACACAATCAGCGACCAAAAATATCCTCGCCGAATGAGCGCTCATTTGAACATTTGAGCGCGCTTTTAATGTTGTTTTTGTGATTATAACTTTTGATTGCATTTAAGGTTCAATTTACATTGTTGTATATTTATTTCAACTAGAACAATTACTTAAAGCAATTGGTGACAGTTTTAAGAGAACTTTTGCATGAGATTGTGTATCTAGAACTTTTTTGATTGATGGTTTTATATGTTAATTATGGTTAAAATAAAAAAAATACAAAATAATTAAGTCAGTTTATTTCTTTTAACAAGCTAAAACATATTACATATAATTTAAAGCTTTCCTAAAGCAACTAGTGATCGACGGATGGTTTAGTGCGAGTCTATAACTACATTATGGATAATGATCTGATATGGAAGAATTAATTTTATTATAATAAAAGATTCAATACATAATACATACATGTTTATTTAAATATATTTTTGAAGTTTATACTTCTTTTGACATGTTTAGAAAAAAATATGAGAGAAAAATTTTTACGACGCGCGCACACCGACAGCTAAAAAGCGACATGATTGATGAGCGACATTTTTGTTCTGTTACGTCAAAGAAGTATAACTTCTTAAGTGCGTCATGTACGCATACACGTTTTTTTTATTAACAAACTAAAGCTATACCTAATAGTGGTAACAAACTAAATTTAAATTTTTAATAGATAAATGAATTTGATTTTTTTCTATAAGATAAATAAATACAATAAATAATTTAATAATACTTATATAGTAGCTAAAATAATTCAAAAAGTTTAGTAATATTATTCTCTCTTGTTTTTATTAACATACGTTTTCTTTTATATAAATATTATATATTTTTTAACCAGTTCAACTATCTTCGTCATAATTATTTGCTTATACTTGCCAAGATTTATGTGCTGGATTTAAAAAAAACTTTGTATACAATTGTATAATCTTCCATTTAATTTAATGCAATAATTGTATAATAAACATAAACATTCGATTCACTGGTCAACAAAAGAAAAAATATTGTTTGTTTCCTGTGATTTTTTTTTGTGTTTCTATCTCAATTTGACAAGTATTTTTTAAATATGCAAACAATTTTTCTCTAACAGCTTTTGTTTTTGAGTTATAGCTAACTACTCTTAATTACTATTTTTACTTAGATTTTCGTTTTTTGTAGGACACTAAAATATATTTTGCTATTGATTTCGATATGGTTTCGTCAAGAAAATGCTGTGTACTTAATTCAGATTGTTTTTGCTATATTCGTGGCGAATATATATTTGAAAAATATCGAAAACCTATATCGGACTTTGTAAAAACTGTGTATCATCAACACTTTAAAATAAAATTGTGTAATTAGGACAAGCCATGGGTTCTTCATTTGTATGCTAGAAATGTGTTGTGTATCTATGTTATGGTCAAGTGGAAAAAGAGATACAATAAAGTTCGTAACACTTATCATTTGGCGAGAACCTCGAAAGCACCATGATGATTGCTACTTCTGTGTTGTGAAAATAAACGGAATTAACCCTGGAAATCGAAGTAAGTGGTCATATCCTACTAATACCTAACTTATCCATCACTTCATAACAAAATCGGCATAATGAAACAGTTTGTGAAGGCGCTTGACAAAAATGACGAAAATTTCACTTTTGTTTCACATAAGTTTCCAGGATTAAGCACAGAAAATTTAATAGCCGATATTTTTGATGGACCACAGATTAGGCAACTCGTGGAAGGTCCTAATTTTGTCAAATCAATGACTGAAATTGAATCCCAAAGCTTGAAACTCATTTTATTTTGGTAACCTTGTTAACATGAAATCTGACAACCATGTCGAGCTAGTTGAGTGCACGCTATCGAACTTACAAGAGCTGAGGTGTAACATGAGCATAATAATCCACTTTATGCACTCGCTTTAGACCGATTTCCACAAAATTCGGGGCGGTTTTAATGAGGAGCAAGGAGAAAGATTTCATCAGGCTATTCGGACAATGGAAGAGCATTATCAGGGAAGGTGGGACTTACATATAATGGCATACTACTGCTGGAATTTGCAACGAGATCTACCTAAAGCCGTTCATTCAAGGAAATGTTATAAAAGATCATTTGATTGTGTTAAATAGAAATTTTGCTAACATATGTATTAATTTCCTTGTATTTTTAGTCAAAACAATAAAAGTCTATATATCAAAAAGTAAAGCTGTTAGCAATCTCCCAGTGTTTTTTTTTGTAGTCAGGGCCATAGAAATACCCAATAACAGTAAAAAATATTAAGGAAATAAAAATTGTGTTGACCAGTGTTATTTTTCATTTTTCTCCTTAATAATATAAAGATAGGATTTTTTTATTATCAATAAAAATAAGCACAGTTCGTTGTTAGATATTGTAGAAATATTTTTATAACAATAGTATTAAAAATATTACTTAAATATTATATGTAGGTACATATAACTCGATGAAATGAAAATAGGAGTATTAGTAGGTATTATAAATATTTGAATAATGTAAGTATATGTTCAAAAAATGAAATGTTTTTATTGCACATTAAATTTATTAAAAGGAAATTATTATTTTAATCTTAAATTTAATTTTTCATGTTGGTACTATTGTATTTGATTACTTTAAATAACATCGTTTCATATTATTATGACACGTTCCATTTTACGTGGAGATAGGAACGTTTTTTAATTTAATTATTTAAATATTAGGAACTATACAACTTATAAGTAATTTTAACTGGCGGTTAAATAGATATGTATTGTATATTTCTTTAATTTACTTCGATAATATGTCGTACATAATAATAATATACTAATCTATTATCTACACAAGTATACATATACTCGTATGTAAGTACAATGTTTTATTGAAAAACATCCAGTAGCGGATTTAGGTTAGGCAAAATTAGTCGATAATATGCCTTTTTCTTTCGTAACAGTATTAAATATATATATATATATATATATATATATATTATATATATATATATTAATTATTTTAACAAAGAGATTCTACCCTTGAAATGGCACTATGTTTAGATTGTAAGAGTGCAAGAAAAGAAAGGAAACTTGAAAATTTGGTCGTACAGTTTACAGAAAACCCAATCGATTATTAATTTTAATCGTCTTAAAAATTTTGGCGATCCTCTAAATTTGTCGCCCGGGTCTCACGGGCCTATGCCTAAATCCGCTACTGAAAACATCTATGCCACTTTGTAGTAGCAAATTTTTATCGTTCAATAGCTTGTAAAACAATTTAACACCTAAAAGGAAATTAAATATGTAGTAAGTACTTATATCACAGTCAATTAAATATGTAAGTATATTAAATTACATCACCATAAGGCTTCATCACTTGTTATAGAATAAAATTACTTAATGTAATTATGCTATACTTAGATATAGAATATTTGATGTTTTAAATAAAGCTATTTTTATGGTGTTTCAAATAGTATGGTAGAGGGCCGAAAACGAAAAACTAACATTGTTTGGGTTTGGCCTTTAAACGCAATATCTTGGGCGTAGCCGCGTGAAAATGCTAGTTATTGAATACATAGGTTTATGTAAGTATTATGGGAGGAAGAAGAAAATATTTCATCATAGTAAATAAGTATATAATAAAACTATTGAAAGATAAAAATCATTAATATTGTCTATTAACTAAATAAGTTTAACACTTATTCGTAACTAAGTACATACCTACTATCTAAATATGGCATATTTCAGTCTATTCTATAATAGTACTTGGCATATAATTGCATTCTTTCTTTACTTGGATTTGGATGAATTTTAAAGATTAAAACAAAAAAATTGATAACATGTTATAATTGAGAAAATAGAACATTTAGTAGACCTTGAAAGAGAAATATAATTTTGATCTAATTGATACAATAAGTAAGTTCAGATTCAAAGGAATTAGGTATAAGTAGTTGACACGATCAGTCAATTGACATACATTATATGAGTTGTCTAAATGCCATACACATATTTGTCAACTCCACTGACTAACTACCTATTTATCTATATTATAAAGAGGAAATATTTGATTTTTTGTTTGTTTGTACTGAATAGGCTCCTACTGGACCGATTTAGATGAAATTTGGTAAGAAGATAGTTTGAGAGCCTGGGAATAACATAGGATAGGATTTTTATCCCGGAAATCATCCTATAAGGGGGTAAAAATGGGGATGATATTTTGTAAGGGGAATTAACCTAGTTGTTTATAAAGCTACTAAAATATAATTTTACAGTTAATTAAAAATTAATCTGATTTTTAAAAATGAAATATAGTGTTTTTTTAGACAAGTTGTCTCGAAATTTTGATAGTGTCAACTACCCAATTTTCTATATTAAAATCTACACGTCTAACATTAAGGCCATCCAAAATTAATACCAGACAATTCGTAAAACCTCTCATTATACGGCCTATAGAATTCTCTAAGGCGTTCTATCGCTACTGGATCTATGTACGGGTGACTCCTACCTTTGTTCTTGCCCAAGCAATGTGGTATGGGACGAGTCTCAGATTTGAGTAGACAAGGGAATCCTTTTGTGGAATTGAAATAGAAATGTCTTTCTGTTATCACCCGCTTTAAACCTAAAAAATCCTGAAATTAATTTAAATATTGTTATTAAGAATTACTTTTGTGATTTTCCGAACGCAGATAAAATATATTTAATTTTTAACAAAAGTAAATCCAACATCCGGGTTGATGGGGAAGTCGATTCTGAATAAAATTGTAAATATGCATAATTGCATAATATATAAGCAGATTAGCTTATCATTAAATGTCGGAATATACTTGTTTTTACAAGTATTACCTATCAAACTGAATTTGCCTTCGTAAAAACTAGATATAATGAAGATAAAATAAATAATATAATAGAACAGCTAAACCTAATACCTAGATATGATTTTTTACGTAAAGAAAGATCCTTTTAAAGTTAGCGAATTATTATACCTACAAATATTATACTATACATACTCGTAGCTATTTATTAAAAACAATTTTCGTTAAAATAATTGAGTACCTAATGGAAAGATGTTCAGTTGCTTTTCTATGTACATATACTAACTAATAAATACATATTATATACAAAGTAATATTGCTAGTCTAGGATTCTATATCGTCAATTGTAAGCAGTCTTACCTGAACTCTTCCAATCTCAGCAGCAGGATCCAAAACCAGTCTTTCTCCACTGATCAACAATATCCTCGACCTTGGAAACCTTCGTAGCCATCGCCTTAAAGGCCTGGCATAAATACCAAGCCTGACCGGCGGCCAAGAAGCATCAACTACAGACCATGGACCTCCCCACACTACCGTACTGTTTACTAATGCTAAGTCCTCGAAACGGGGCAGAGATGGTCTTTTACTAGAAACGACAAACGCTATTTTAATTATACAAATGGGTTATAATGAAGCTTTATTTACTGTACAAATTATTAGTCGATTTTTTTTAAATATAAATGTGGGAAGTACATTCTAATTTTTTTGTACCTACTTTAAAGAAATATGTAAATTTGCAAATCTTAGATATACGAGTAATTCGTAGGACGAATACATAAATTTTGTCCCATTAAGCTGATCTATGATGAAGTCAAAAGAGAATAAGACAAAACAACGACTTAAGACAGAACGGGGGGAAAACACAAAAAAAAAATACTGAACGGGGAAGTCCGTTTTCAACAGACATGTAAATCAGATATTTTTGAAGTCAGTGCCAACGGACGTAAAACAAAAGAGCTCTATATAGCCTTACTATATTAATTTTTGTTTGCCATTAAAGAATATATTATGGATATGCGATATCGAAGCAATATAAAATTTTGGAGTATGTAAGCGGAAAGAATTACGAAATATTACACCGTTCGTTATTACCTATCACTCTTAATTACCTTTTTCCTATATACGACTTCTTTAATATATATTTCTAAATATCAAACGTGAAACACTACATAGTAAGTATCCATTTTAGGCTCATTTCAATCTCATTTCCTAACTAAAAAGGGCGGTCTTAAAAGGCTATACGACATTCTGCACACTAGCATTTCTTTCGTCAGTATCATGTTCAATTGAAAGGAGCAAGCTAGGTTTTAAGTCAGTGTTTACTCTAGCTAGGTTGTTCGAAGAACTATTTTCTAAAAATGTTCACTTCGTGATTCTAGGTATTATTGCTCTATTATTACTAGGAATTATTTTTTACACTTAGGTAATATATACAGATAAATAAAATTGAAGTGTCTGTTTGTAATGTTAAAATAACAACTTTTTACTAAATGCATATGGAAATATATACGGTATTTATAAGAAAAACACAATTTTAAAAATGTTTGTTTGTCTGTTTGTTCCGGCTAATCTCCGAAACGGCTGGGCCGATTTTGACGGGTCTTCCACTGACAGATAGTTGATGTTATAAGGAGTAACTTAGGCTACTTTTATTTCAGTAAAAGAATTAGAGTTCCGCTCAAAAAAACTAAAATGTACCTTTGGAGAAATACGAGCGAAGCGAGGGTAAGTCTTTAGTATAATAATAAGTTAGTAGTATAATATATAGGTAGTAGTTGTTAGTATTATAAAATACTTAGTAGGAATATTTTGAATAATCCGAGATATACACAGGTGCATTTTTTTTACTAAAAGAATTTTGTTTAACTAATCCAAATCAGAAACGTATACCTATCTTAAAACCTCTATAGCTACCTACATAATAATCAATACAAAACAATTTTAAACAATTTTAAAATAATCACCAAACAATATTACAGTTTCCCGGTATAAACTGTGTAAGTTAAATAAATTATAATTAACTTACACAGTAACTAAATACACAGTTCGTATCTATCTAATTTTTTCCAATACTTTTATTTTTTGCTAATGTCTTGGATAAAAGACATTAAAATTACAACTTGATTTATCAAGACTTATTCACAATTCCGGAATTACTGTCTATCTGTTCTTTCATATTTTTAAGTCTAAATTACAACAAATATTATATTACCTGGCCGATTGTGTATAATCACTTATAGCTCTAGTTACTGGATCTCGAACCACAGCTATCAATTTGACAGCAGGATTCATAGCGTATACACGTTTTGGTGCTGATCTTGTGACCCAATACGATGGGGTCTTCTCCATTGTTATTTGTCCTTCTAGAGTTGGTGGCATCTTTTCCCTGAAATTTATAATTTAATTTCTCTTTTGTGTCCCTAATAAAAAATAACAAAAACCAGTGACTGTATTCGCGCGGTGGAAAATCTAGCAATAGGGAATGTGCGAGATTTTTTTAAATTTTTTATACAATAGCTAACATCGTTATATAAAAGTATAAAAAAATAAATTAAAAATAACATACCGATACGGATACTATGAACGCCCGCCATTTCCTTTGGCGTGACGTCAAAGTATGTATAATATACACATAAAAATGGCGACTCAATTTGTACAAAATCGCTAATCGCTCCTTTATGATAGTACTTTGACGTCATATTCGGTCTGACCAATGGCGTGCGTTTCAACTAATTGTTTGAATTTCCCACCTACATATATTTGTATTTTTTAGTAATTATTTTCTTAATCAAAAAGACATTAACATTAAAAAATATTGATAAATAGGCTTAATTCAAAATCTTTATTTAAATCACACGCATATTCCCTATTAAGAAACAAATAAATCTAACAGAAGACTGTATTTTGTTACTGTAGTTTGTACACATAAATTCAACTTCCATTTTAAAAAGGCTGGATTTACACTAGGGGCACTCGGGGCTAGTGTCCAGGACGGCAAAATTTTCGGGGGCGGCCAAAATTCGAAGAATAAAAAAAATAATTTTATCGCGTTACCGAAAATGTTTTTTTTATTTTCCAAAAAAATGAACAATTAAAAAAATAACTCTAGTACATTTTTCAAAAAAAAAAAACAATAATTAAAAATATGAACTTTATCAAAACTTTATCCATTTTATGCAAAATTTCGATAATGGGGCGGCATTTGGCATATATTCTATTATTATTGGGGTGTCTAGGGGCCGCGCTAAAGTTGAATCCGGCATTGATTTTAAACCTTTCATTTAAACATTTATACATCTGGAAAATAACTTGTTTTATAGTATTTTTGTTGTAGGTACCTAAACGTCAGCCGTAGCCACAACTACCTACATGAGGCGAAAGTTAGTTTTTATTAATATTTTTACTAATAATATAATTTATTTATTATATTCATATTTTAATTTCTATCTTTACTCCATTCAAACCATAACAAATATTATACAAAAAACTTTAGGCAAAGAGACTCTACCTACTTCTTTCATATTTACGCAGGTACTATTCTATGTAGAGAACAGAACTAAATTTTTATTTTTTCTATTATCGTACAGATATATTTATGTAAGTAAGTATCTACTTAATAAAATAAATCCTTATTCAAACGATTACAAAAAAGAAAGACGATTCGTTTTAGATGTATGTTTTTTTATATATGTCACGCGAAATTTTCTTCTATTTTGCACTGACTTTACTAATGGCAGAAAATAAAACAGCTTGAATAAGCAGTTAGTAATGTAAAGAACTTTACAGAATCTACGCTAAACGCTTGAAAAGTTTTAATAGAAATAGAGAACTGTTTGGTCGTTTATGAACAAGTTGTTAACAATCACAACGACTTTGAAATACGCTAGTGTATTTCGCCTCTTTGTTATTTGTTACCAACGAGTTTCTCTCGCTCGTCCATTCTCTAAAAATCTTTTATTCAAACTTCACTTGATGTAAAGTTATAAAGTAGGTATTTCCTGTGCTAATTTAGAATTTCATAAAATACCTTCAAATAAAAAATTTGAATTGAATTGAAAATTCACCTTTATACTATGTTTGTTCTACTTTGATTCCCCATACAAACTTTTATCCCCAGTTTCACCCCGTTAAGGGACGATTTACGTGATAAAAACAACTATGTCCTTCCCAGGGTCCCAAACTACCTTCTTACCAAATTTCATCTAAATCGGTCCAGTAGTTTCGGAGTTTATTCGGTACAAGCAAACAAGCAAAAAATCAAATCTTTCCTCTTTATAATATTAGTATAGATTAGTAAAAGCTTACAAGACTGTCTGTTTGTTTGAATGCTTTAATCTTTTGGAAGTCCACTTTAAATACCTACATATCTTTATTGAGAAAGGTATCTAACACCAGGCATAGATCTTTCGGAGTGGAGCAATGACAAATAACACGGGCGAAGCCGCAGGCAAACCTAGCGTAATATAAAATTGTACCTACGTTTTACAGTTTACTTCGTTACTAAATGTCTATTTATACAAAGTCTTTTTTAACTATGCAACTCGAAATCCTTTATATTAAATCCGATATTGACAGAAATTATAGCTACATTCATTTCTGCGTGAAGTTATAATGTAAAAAGATGTAAGTACCTGTACCATTCAAAACCCTTATGATAAAATTTATCAAAAAAATGCACTTCCGAACCAGCTGCCCTCACGTCGGGATGCAACCTGGAAAAAAGATTACAATATTTTTCTACTTTCTAGTTTTAAGTACCCACCTAATTAATAACACGACTTTAAATTACATACCTAACTATCCTACATGTATATTGTGTATGTATGTCTCGGCCGCACACATCGCGATAACTAATAATAACTCATTATAAATGACTAATAATATAAACGATAAAATTTGTCACTATGGATTAGAATGGACGGATGGATAAATATTTCTTACCCTTTCACGCAAAAATTATTGAACGGATTTTGATGAAACAAGGATATAATTTATAAAGATATAGTAATACATAATGTAACTACGCTTAGTGCTTGTAACCAATGATCAATTATTACTCCGTAATAAATTTACTATTTTTAGACTTTATTCAATTTATAATGATAATTTATAAATTTTAATGAACAGTACTGATATAAAACTTTAGTAAAAGCAGTTTTACCTTAAAAATTCCAAAAGCGCTCTCGTTCCACATTTCTTAACCCCTATTATCAAGGCATCCGGCAGTCTCTTCGTTGGAACCACATTCGTTGTCCTAAGTCTCATGTAATTGTTATTGAAATTGTAACCTAAGAGCGCGGCAAAACGACTCGTCACGCTCTTATAATTTGAAACGTGATGTTTCAGAGAAAAATACTTAAATGAAAACTGAAATTTTCAATATTTATTATTTTCTAATCAAATTTATCAACATGTACGTAAATTTACAAAAGATGCCGGTTGCAACACTTTTGAGAAAGTAAATATTATTTTACTGAAAGTTTATATGATAACATGTACGTATCTAGAAATATAGATATATTTAAAATTAATTCCTCATGCACCTATATCAAATCATATTAATAAGACTTTTGGTACAAACCTTTTTTTCGTCAACTAAACAGGTATTCAAAACATAAAATAAATATAATAGAAACAATAATATGAAATATGTAAACATAGTTCGTTTCGAAAGTGCCGGAATCCATCTCATTGCTGCTTTTAAAATTCATTTGGGTAGCAGAACACTTTCTCATCAAAATTGTTATTACAAGATAACATAAATAAACTCTATTTAACACTAAATACAAATTAAAAATAAAATTACGCTTTGCAATTAAATTGCATAAATGTCAATAGGAAATAAAATTGTTTAAAAAGGAGAAAATTAATATTAAAATACAGTATAAATAAATAATACACTTTTGACGCAGCACCACGCGGTTCTTTTCAAGAAAATCTACTGCACACCTGATCTGCATAAGTAAACGCACTGCGCAATCGCGTTGAAGCACAGAGGTATGAGGAGGACGGGAGGTAATGCGAATACTGAATTTAGGAGCAATAGGACACCTTTAACTTCGCGCCAAATATAAATCAGCATTTGCGCGCGCATTTTTCTTGTCATTTTCCGGAAATAGTAGGTATCTCTTGTATTTCAAACAAACGGATATTCTTACTATAATTAAATTTCACTAATGTTTTCTATTTAAATATCTATATAAGAAAGGTTATAATTACATAAAAACTAACAAAAAGCCGTCCTAAATACTAAAAACAATAATTTCTTTGAAATCTTCTTATTGAATTATACATTCTGTATCAAAGCAAATTTATGTAAGACGCGTATCCAAATTTTTCTACCAACTTAACGATTCCAACGAAAACAACCAGATGACAGCCGACAACTAAATAAAAAGAAATTGGGTTGTGTTGAACTTTGAAGCCGTGAAATAAATTAAAATGACAGTCCAACAACTCAACTCGAATATTTCTGACGACTCGGATGATATGGTTAGTTTACCATCGGAGGAAGAGATTTATAGGCGAAAATACCAGCTATTGTTGGAGCGATGTGAAGTGTTGCAACAGGATAATGAGCGAATTGTGAATAGGTTTGAGTATTGAATTAAATATTGCTAATAATGTAATGTTTTCTCAGTGGTAATCTATTTTAATTTCATTCTAGGATACACGAAGTAAAGAAAATAACAAAACGTTATAAAAAAGATATAAAGTTACTGGTAGAACGGTTGGATAAGCATGGAGATCCCTTCAGAACAGCTACAGTTGAGGTAGATGTAAAGCCTGAAGTCACAGCCCGACCGCCGCGTGCTAGTGCAAAAGCTCAAGCTGGTACAAAACAAGCTGACAAACAGAATGCTGCAGGGGGCAAAAAACCTGCACCTAAAAGAAAAAGTAAAGCTGACAAGGTAGAGTAACGTTAATTTATATTTAGTGATTAGCTATTGTGTTTGAAGTTAATTATTGTCACAAGATGTTTTTGATATTATGTATTCATATTTATTTTTAGCCGGAAAGAGACCCAAATGCCCCAAAAAAACCATGTAATGCATTTTTCCAATTTTGCCAAGAGCAAAGACCTGTAGTTGTAGCTGAGACTACTTCTGAAATGGGGTCAGAGCCCTCAAAACAAGAAGTTACAAGACAACTAGCCTCAAGGTGGAGAGCACTTACAAGTGAAGAAAAAAGGGTAATAATAAAAGTTTTCTATGTGTGATCTATTTTGTTATATCTTATAACACATAACATATATTATTATATGCATATTATAATGTGTTTATAATGAAAAATGTTGTGAGTTCAAAATCACTTAAAAAAGAAATTATTTCACCCTTAATTAGGGTGACGCTTTTTTGAAATTGTGTTAGACTCCTCTTGAGGTATATTTTTAATTAGTATATATACTTATTCATCAAAAAAAATTATGAACTTATTAACAAACTTACAATTGGCTAAGGCATAGCGTAAAATACTTCAAAATAGTAAAAATTGTGTCTTTTTTTGAAGTCTGTGAAAAATAAATGAAATTCAATTATTGAAGTCATGTTCACTTTCATTTGTCCATATAAAAAAAAATATCTCTTGTTTTAGGTATATGTTGCAATGTTTGAAAGATCAAAGGAAAAATATGCAGAGGAAATGTCAGCGTACATTAAGAAAGAACAATGACAGTCTCAAGTAATAAACACTAGCAGTTAATTCCTTTGTGATCACTAGCTTTAATATTAAGTTATTATATAAATATAGATTTTTTTATATGAAATTGGCGTTTCAATAGATTTTCTTTTAATAAAATGAATTATCTCAGTTACATATTTGTTAGTACTGTTTCACTTATTACCACGTAATGAGCACTGTAATACTTAATTAGAACTTTATAAAAAAAGAGTAAGTATCTAAGAATATATATTTATGAAGCTATATAAATAAATAATATATCGGGACCTTAACACACAGCATCATCTAGTTCCATGGTAAGCTACGAGGCTTGTCTAATGGATACCAGATAGTACACATATATAACTTTTAATACATACATATTATAAATATAAACATCCATAACTGCAATACAAATGTTCGTGCTCATCACACAAATGAATGCCCCCAATGAGCTCGAACCCGCGACCGCTGGCACAGCATGTAGGGTTATTACAAACTGAGCGAAACATCATTGTCATCAAGAGATTAAAGTTCCATTAATAGTCAAATTGTCTTTACAATTTGATTGATTTAAAAAGGGATTCTTTTAAAATGCAATATTTTGTTCATATATTTTTTATTAACAATAACCCAATAAGATAAACAATTATAAACAGATTTGTGTGCAATTATTTTTTTCCATATTTATTTTAACCTTTAAAATTATCTTTCTCAAGACGAATAGCTCTCATTGTCTCTATAGCATCATTCTTCTTTGCATGTTTCATAACTGCTGGTTCTGTTACTCTCATGAAAGGGTTATAAAGTTTCTCCTCAGAAATTGTAGATGGAACCTATAGTAAAACAAATATATGATGAATTATTATTTGTATATATAAGAAAACATTTACAATTTATGTGTAAGTTAAAAATTGAATAAAATATTAGAACTACAACTTTTATTAAAGTTTTGATTCTATATGACTATGTAAGGTTAAAATGTGTGCTCAACATTACTTCAATTTCTAAAAATTTTAAGGTAATGTACTCTTAAAGTGGTTATTTTGTGTATTTTAATTGATTGACACAAAAATCAAACAGCTGTGGTGATATAAATGGTATTTCATTAGGTATGAAATCTGTCATATTAACCAATAATAATTTGACATAAAACTTACTGTAGGCTTCTTTTCTTCCCTTTGTTTCTGAGACCAGGCAATTTTCTTCTTCACATCTTCATTTTCTGGTTCAACATGAGCTGCAAATTTCAAATTCTGTAAACTGTATTCATGGCCACAAAAAACTTTGGTTTGGTCTGGTAAACTTCCCAAGACATCTATCAGTGCTTTGTGCATTTGTTCTGCTGTGCCTTCAAAAAATCTGCCACATCCACCAAGAAATAATGTGTCACCTAAAAGGGTAATGTTTTGTCATATTAATTAACATTATACTTAAGCTTGATAATATAGATTATAAAGTTTACTTTCAAGCATGGATCCACCTTATATGTCACAGTTGACAGACTAATGTTATATCCAATGACATAGTAAATAAAAAAAAATGTATTTTTCCAATTACTTGTGAGTCCACGGAAAAATGGTTTTCTTCGTGGAGAAATTACTTTATATTTTATCCAGAATAAAGAAACGATTATGGGCAAGTCTATACTCTCATATGCACTTAGCCGATTTTTGGATTGCTTTGACCACAACCTTTTTTGAAGACTGGATCCGTGCTTGTCTACTTTCAGAAATCAACATATTTTATATCCTTTAGTACTTATTTTTCATAAAAATAGTGTCACTAACCAGTAAACACAGCTAAATCACTCCCATCTTTAGTCGTAACAAAATAACAAATATGTCCAGAAGTGTGGCAAGGAGTAAACAGACATTGAACATTTAGTTCACCAATATTAAATTGGTCCTTATGTTGAACTTTTTTAGTCAAAGCCCCAATTCGATCATCTCCTCCATATACTTGTAATCCCGGCTGTAATTTAATTAAATCTTCATTGCCACCTGCATGGTCCCTATAATGTTTTGATTAAATGAGATCAAAATTAAATTTATATAATAATTTAAGTGTTTTATATTTAATAATTAATTTATACAATCATATTTTTTAATTGTGTTATTTTTTTTCCAGTCTTAGATATTTATCATGTTAATAACCTTGAATTTGAAACTCTTTGGCATTTATTTATATTTAATTAGCATGGCCCGCGGCTCTGCCCGCATTCAGATTACCAAAAACCAAATTCTTTGGTTTTATATATTAGTATACTCTTACAATGAAGTTTTTGTATTTTTTCTCAGAAATGAGATATTTTCCCACAGTAAAAAGTATCCTATATGTTGACCTGGTTATCCAGGTATCACCATACCAAATTTCATGAAAATCCCTCCAGCGGTTTTTCCTTGATGCGGTAACAGACAGACAAAAATTCTAAAAACTATAGATTCGGCCTCTGTATTGATAATAACGTCTATTTCAATAAGATTTTCTAAAAAATATTTAATGTACAGATTCACCTTAGTTACAATTTTATTATATGTATAGATATATATTTACATAATATTTAGTAGGTATGTTTATTACACTGACAGATAAGACATCATAGATAAGAAAAGTAAACTATTTCATAATAATAGTTACCAATGATGATGAGTGGTCAGCACAGTAGTTAATTTGATCCCTTGATCCTTTATAGCTTTTAATACAGTCTGGGGCTCCACTGGGTCTACAATAGCAGCTTCTTTAGTAGCCTTATCTACTATTAAATACATATAATTGTCTTGCAAAGCGGGTAGTATTTTTACATCCATAGCTGTGTACTCGTGATGTTCCTGGAGGCTATGTGAATTGCGTTGATTCCAAACTAAAGCTGTAATTGAAATTAGTGAGCGACATCGCATTGGGAACCATTACATGATTAAACCCAAGATTTTAATGATGATTATTTACATTGATTCGTGGTTATTTTCTGTTAGGTATGGTAAATGAATCGACTTACCTTGAAAGTAAAGTTTAGTTATTCGTTGAGAAAGCCCAAATGGCAGTGAATTTACAAATCTAGCAAGCATTGAACAAAAAAGAAAAAAATAAGGGGATAAATATTTACTACGTCCTAGAATACCTTTAAGGCAATCGAGGATAAGTAGATAATCTGAAAATAAAAATAATTAAACTTATATGTTTATCACATTCACGGTATTTTTCTTTACTTTTCCCGGATTTATGGCGAATGACGATTGGCGAACAAATCACGAAAGACAATGTTTTGATTTTTTAACTTATCAGTTAACACTGTCAATTTCCTTTTACGATCATAAATGAATATAGTATAAGTATAATATACCTAATATTGTGCATCTATATTCTGTCTTCTAAGATTGGAAAAATAATTTTAACGTTTAAAAATAAAATATAATTTGTTTTATTTATAGTTAATAAAAACATTGATTAGTAGCAGTAGATTCAATAAAATTTAATTAAAATATGCAATTTATAAAATGAACTTCTAAATATTTTTATGTTTTAGATATGTTACAGGTTACTATTTTATTGTAATGTCAATTGTCAATTGTCAAATGTGGCATTTACTGTCAAACACACGTGTTTATGTGGTTACTGGTGGTTGTCGGTATTTTAAGTTCCTGTAACAAATAAATATTTTATCAATACCTACACTAATTAGTATGATTTATAATATGAAAGATTTTTGTAATAATTTATAATCATGAAGAGTAAACCTGTAAAGCATAAATCCACCAATACTTTCCGTGTAAGTAGACTATGGTAAAATAAAAATAAACTTTAATTTTTACAGGTTATTCTACTTTCATGGCTTTATTGTTGTTGTATATTGAGAACGTTGAAGGCATGCAATTATTTTTATAGTAATATTTATATTATAATTTCACCAGGAATCAAAACAAAAAAATGTTTTCTTTTTAGTTTGTTCCATTTGCTGAGCGGATAAATTCTATAGATATCCGACATGCAGCATTATATCACATTGAACATGCTTACGCGAGTCAGCCAGGTGAAAATGAAACACACTTCCACCTGGCCTTACAAAAATGGCATGGACTTAATTTGTCAGAAAACTTTAAAAAATTTAAGAAAGAAGTCTTCGGTGTAATTACTGTTCCACAACTTATTCACAAGAAGAATGAAGTGTTAGATATACTGGAAAAATATTTAGAACTAGAAGACCAGTTATGTCTTCAGCCATTGCTGGAGTAAGTATTGTTTCTCTTTTTGAAATTATCAATTTTCTAATACAAATTGTTTTCCATTTTAATATTTAAATAGATGTTTTTTTAAATTATGTTATATAAATAAGTAAGTTTTAATATATTTTTTTGTTTTAGAATTTTGGTATCTGCAGCAAAAGATTTGAGAAGTGATTTTTACCCACATTTTCCAAAATTTCTCGATATTTTAATTAAATTATTGAATACAAAAGATGTTGAGAGGTTAGAGTGTACTTTAATCTGCTTGGCATTTTTATTTAAAACATTAAAACCTTATTTAAAGAAGGATGTTGGAGTTGTATTGACTAGAATAATACCTCTATTGAGTGAATCAAAACCACAATATATAAATAACTTTGCTGCTGAGAGTTTTGCATTTGTGGCAAGAGATATAAGAGATAAAAAAAAATTTATAGACCTTATCCTTAATTATCTGCAAAGTAATGATGATGTAAGTTTTTTGTAACATTTATATTATTGTGAATCTAAATACTTGTACCTTAATTAAAAAATGTAGTAAATATTTTTATCCATGTAATAAAATGCTTATTTTAATATTTTTACAGGCTATATCTGGCTGCGGACATTTATTATTTGAAATAGTAAGAGGTGTTAGTAATAAATTTCATAGTTGTATAGAAAGTATTCTTCCACTTTTATTAGAACATCTTAAAGAAAAGAAGGAACATCAAGATATCTTATTTAAAGTCTTAACGCAAACTTTTGAAGATAGCTTACAAAATATTGTGCCTAAAGAATTTAATATAGTTTGGACTCACATTCACAAATGTATAGAAGAAATAATAAAAGATGATGAACAAAATACAGGATTGGAATATATTTTGAGATTAACAGGTCAAATAATAGAACACCAACAAGGAAAATATTTATTAAACCCCCAACAATTTGCTTTACTGCTAGTTAAAATTATATGTAGGCAGACATCAGAAAATATTTTAGAAGTCTGTTCACAAATTGGAGCTCTAATGTTACTATCTTCAAATATTTCCCTTTCTCAAGAGCATGCTGGGATTATTGTTAAAGTACTATTACCATTACCATATTCAAGCATTCTAATTAATTTTGTACAAAATGTGATACAATATTCACAATTCGATATGCACATTCTTCCACCATTTATAAAATTTGTGATTCAATCAAATTTTGATAGTGATGCAATGGCTACTTTGGCAAAGATTTGTCTTACAAAATCACCTTTGTCTAAAAATGGCTTAAAGCTTTTTGAGTGGGTAAAATATCCTATGGATTTTGGTAAAGGACAAGCCCTATTATTAGAACATATTAAAAATGTCCTGACTGAAAACATTCAAAAGGTTATTGAGAACCCAACTAATCTCATGAATGTGTTATACTGTTTGCCGCATATAGAAAATATGAATGTTGAAATATGCATAAAAATGCTAAGCAATCTTATTTCGAAATTCTTAGAAGTGCTAGTGAGTTACAATCTTGAAGCCCAAACAGAGGAGAACAAATTTCATTGTGATACTACACCTGTGTCAAAATTAGCCAGAAAAGTAATGTTTTTGCTAGCTAATACTATGGAATGTGCTATACACATATCAAGTTGTAAGCAATTAAAGGACATATGTGACATTGAGATTCTACTGCCAATAATACTGCCATGTGCAGCGGATCCTAATTACTTAGTTGCACTCCATATAACAGATTTGTATTTGACTGCTTATGAACATGAAAATGGTTTGACTTATCCATTTTTATCGTTAGTAGACTCTTATTTGAGGCCAAATATATCATCACCTTTTCATATTGTAAGTACTAATCATATCTTATTATACATATTTTACTTATTAGCAGCCTGCAGTGTGTCTGTGCTTTTTTATGTGAAGAATCAGGACAACCAATGTGTCATCAATTTATTAAAATTTATTTATTGAATATTTTATAACTTTCCAATTGTAAGCTAATTTTTTATTATTTTTTTACATATTAAATATATACTAAAATTTAGAAAATTAACTTTTATTGTTTTTGCAGGTGCGTTTATTGACTACTCACATTTACAAATTGTTTGAAAACATCGATGAGTTAAATAAAAGTGTACAAGTTGGTGGAGATATTGAAAGATTCTCCATTTTCACTAACTGCTTTACAATTGAATCTATATCACCATCTATCCAAGAATATAGAATGCAGTTGAATTTGCTTCAAAAAATGGTGTTTAATACAACACAATACGAGCTAGCTAAAGAGACAGATTTTCATCTTTTCCCCTTGAATTATATGTTGGGAGTTTTGTATATCAATTTTAAGCTATTATGGGAACCCGTTGTGGAATTCATTGCAGGCTATGGCAATGCTTTAAATGCAGAAGATTTCTGGCCTACATTTTATAAATCACTAGAGTGTTCTTTTGCTAATGCCAAAAGTAACTTGAAATTATTTCAATTTGAAGATGATTTAGTTGATAATAAGCTGATTAAAGAAATTTATTCAGATTATACCAGTATTTTGGAAAGGCCTGATCTGTATAACTATAGGAATTTGATTTTAAAAATAATGACAAACTCTATTCAAGTTTGTGAAGCCAAAAATAGAGATGTAGTTGTTCTGTTTTTAAAGTTCATAGATGAAGAATATAGGAGAAGTGATACAATGAATGCTCTCAAAATTGATATTGAAAAACGAAACAAAGAAGAAGAAATGGATTCAGATGATAAATCAATTGCTGATGATGAAGAAAATATGGAGATGCCTGATGAAAATACCCAAGACACAGTGTCCGGCAAAATTGTTTTTAAAACATTAATAAACATAATGCAAGTATTATCGCAATTTAAGAACCCGAGAGCTCTTCACAAAGAACCTGTATTTTGGGAATTATATTTGGAGTTTCTTAAACATAAGAATCCTGGTCTCCAGAAATACGCATTAGATTGTGTCTTAAATTATAAAAATAAAAGTGTTACACCATACAAAACAAATTTACATAACTTGGTAGATGAAAAGAAATTCAAAGACGAACTAACACAGTTTAAAATAACTGAAGATTCACAAACAATTCAACCAGAACATAGAGAGCATGTAATACCAATTATACTAAGAATACTTTATGGTAAAATGACGTCCAAGTTAGTTGCTGATAAGAAAGGTGGTGGTCAAGCAAGAAGATCCTTAGTAATGCGATATTTGAGTGGATGTAATGAGAATGAATTGAAAATGTTTATAGAAATGGCATTCTCCTATTTTAAGAATTATATGACGATGGAGCCAAAAGAAATATATACTAGTATATTTGATAATACGGACCTCAAATCTGTAACAAGTCCTGGGAAATTGCATAGTATTTTGAATCTGTTTGATGTAGTGCGAGAATATTTTGGTGGTTACATGAAAGACCAATTGCTATCAGACTTTTTCAAAATATTTTACGCAGTTTCTTCAAACTTGGCAAGTGTTTTATCAAATGTAGACAAAGTACACGTTAGTTACGTAAAAGTAATGAAAAACCTTCGAACTATATCTATCAGTACACTGGGGAAATTGTTTGATCAGTTTGAAAAATATGTTTGGAGTAAGGATGAGTTATTTGTTATATTTGAAACATTGATATGGCCACTCGTTACCCGCTTGCACATTGAGGGTATTCATAGTCCCACTGCACTATTGAAGCTTTTCAATATATGGTGTCAAAATCCCAGATATTATATACTGTTTGTTACATGCTCTGAAAAAGATTCTTCGCTAAGTGTTCTGCCTGCTATATTCAAACTTTTGCTAGCACCCAAAACCACACCTGGAGTAGTCAACTTAATACTAGACATGATCGAAAAGTTATTGACTTTGACAGAAGATGAAGAAGATAAAGAGGTCTCAAATATAGAGTCGTTTTGTGTACTAAAAGTTAGTGGTGAAGACAAAACTGAAATAAACTTTGGAAGTAAACTTTTAATTCCGCATCTGCCAAGTATTTTAGAGGTTATGAAAAGACGTATAGCCAATTCGGCAAAATCAAATACAGTAAATAAAAGAGATCTCTTGATATTGTCACGAGTGACAGAAATGGTGACTACTCCAGAAATGTGCGACGAGTTACTGAGTTTACTATTGCCCATATTGGTAAAGAAAGTCTGCATGCATATGGCTGAAGAGAATATGGAGCATGCGGTCAATACAATTATAAACTTGCTTGGACATAGCACGAATCCACAACAATACATTAAAAATATAGCCATTTTGTTCAATAAAGTTGGACCGGTTGAAGTAAGAAAGCTTCTCATCAAATTGCTATCATCGATAGCTGAGAATGCAACTGATAATAAAGATGCATTGTCTAAAATAGCACGCGTAGTAACAGAAATGAATGCCTTTAATAAGAGATGGATTGAACAACCCGATTTCGATAGGAGATTGGATGCATACAAACTAATATATCAAATGTTAGATACAAATGAAATTGATGTTGATCTCACGATTTTGATTGTTAATAATTGCTTCTACTTTATACGCACTGAAAAAGATATAGGATTACGTGATAGTGCAGGGTTATGCCTGAAAAAAATCCTTCCCAAACTACTAACAAAGTACCGTTCAGCGACAGATGGGCAATTTTTGGTTCGAGATACTGTTTTATCTCTTATATCTACCGGTATTAGGGATAGTAAAAATGATATTGTACGAAATGAAAGTATTATGTTACTTGGAGAACTCGTACGAGAATGTCCAGACGTTGATGTTGTATTATCAGATTTAGCACCTCTAGCAAATAAAGAAGATATTGAAGTTGACTTCTTTGAAAATTCTTGTCATTTACAGTTACATAGAAAAGTAAGAGCTTTATTAAAGTTCAGCAAAGTTGCTAAAAAGTTAATAAAATGTCCAACACCCAGAACTCTTACAAATTTTATTTTGCCTTTAGCTTCTATGTACATTTGCGACGAAAAATTCAGCGATAAAAATACTCTAATAGATGCTTGTATAGAAGTTATCTCAACGTGCTGTAGGTTATTACCCTGGTATCATTACGAAGTGATACTAAAGTTGTATTTGAATAAAATGCGTCATTCATCAGAATATCAAAAACAACTAACACGTATAATAATCGGTATATTAGACGCATTCCATTTCGATTTTTCTAAAGTTAAAAATATTGAACTCCCAAAAGCTTTGATCAATAATATAAGAATTAACAACATTTTCAAGAAAGCAAGTAAAGACGAAGTAAAAAAATCTGACAATAACAAACTCGACGCAAGTGACTTTGAAAATGAGGACGAAGAAGAAAACAAGAATGAAGGCAACATTGAAGATATAGAAACTGATTTACTTGGAGAAGAAGAAAAAGATGATGAAAATCAAATTAATAAAGAAATATCCAATGTACCAGCATTTGAAAGAATCACAAGTGTATCGCCATCGGTAGCTAATAGAATCATCAAATCTCTTTCTGCGGGACTTTTGCCACAGCTTAATCGGTAAGTAAATGCGAAATCGATAGATAAGCCTAAACAAATTAGTAAAAAAAACAAGCTTCTGTTTCTTTAAGATCTGTAAATTTCAGTATCAAAAATAAATAGACAAAAATTAATAAGTGAAGTTAGAATAATTTTGATATTTTTTTAGCGCAATCGGAAAACTAACTGAGCATGAAGAATCTCATAAAGTCAACAGGCGACGTACAGGAATGGCACGCTTGGAAGAGGATATGTTACGAGTTCCCATTGCTCTTGCATTAGTTAAACTCCTTCAAAGACTTCCGGGAGACATTTTAAAGCATCAACTTCCGGGGTAAGTCTGATATAAATATGATATTATAATATTTATAAAAAATATTTCATAAAATTATTAATTTTGCTCTGACGAAAGTATAATTACAATAAATTAAATTAATATTATATTTCTTTTAGGATCATTATAAAATTATGCTCATTTTTAAAATCTCCATTAAAGCAAGTCAGAATTGCTGCACGAGATATTGTTAAGAAAATAATGTTAACAGTAGGTACACCTTACTTAGGTGTGCTCTTAGAACATCTTACATTGTTATTAACAAGAGGCTACCAAGTGCATGTCCTAGTTGCTACAATACATACCGTATTAGAAGCTTTAAAAAGTGATTTTAACACTGGAGATATTGACCAAAATCTCGATTACATAATCGATGTTTGTACTAACGATCTATTTGGAGCTCTATCTGAAGAAAAAGAGGTGGATAAACTCCATTACAAAACACCTGAAGCTAAACCAAGCAAAAAGAGTTACGTTACTCTCATGATAGTATCTCAAAATATTACGGAAAAATGTCTAATAAATCTTCTATTACCATTCAAAGAAGTTTTACAAAAGCATCACTCGAAGAAAATTGTGGTCAAAGTCCAAGAAGCGCTAATGCACATTACTACTGGCTTAGTTTCAAATAAATTTATCGATGTCGAATCTCTCTTTGTTTTTCTACACGGGTTAGCGTCAGAAAGTATACCAGAATTCGTTCTGAGTGCACCAAAACGTGAACTAACGGAAGCCCAAAGAGAAAAAATGTTAAGAGCGAAGCCAGATTGCTTTATCATACCAGAAATTCCTAAACGTAATAAGGAATCGCAAGCTAGGAATGTTAAAACATCATCAAAAACAAATGCTCACGTACTAGTGGAGTTCAGTTTGAATATCCTACATGTCATACTTAAAAGGGAAAAGGTTCCGAGGATAGATTGCAGGGCATTTGTAGATCCTTTAATCCCACTTTTGGTAGATGCATTGAAAAGTGATCACGTGAAAGTGACGACAATTGCGATGAAATGTATAGCGACACTATGGACTATCAGAATTAGTACGCCAACATTAGAAGAAATGGTTAAAGATATCGTAAATACAATATTTTCTATACTGCATAAGTATGCTACTTTTGAAATTAGCAAGCAAAATGATAATTATCATTTAGTTAGGAATTCATTTAAGGTAAAGTAATATTATATGTCTTCATAAAATTCATATATAAGTTATAATTAATATTCTAAACAAACCTTTTTTAAATTAATGTCTTGGTATGTTTTTGAGAAATATCTGTGATAGATGAATCTAAGTTCATTTATTGGTCGTAAGAGTTATGTTCGTTGTCTATTTGCATTAAATGCACACCTCTCGAAAACGTAAGAGCTAAATACATATTCGGGCGGAGTCGCAAACAGTTCGTACATAAGACAAAAAATATTATGATATATAAATTGAAAATACAGGCGTTGAGTTTTACTTTGAAATGTTTATAACAACTGCTTTATACATATTACGTTATGTTTCGCGGCTAAATCAAATTAATGGAACTTCTTCAGTTATGGTGGAAGAACTTTCTTAGTTTTTTATTTAGTGAAAAGAACCAAAGGTGAGTAATTTTTAATGAAAATTTTATACTACTAAAAAAATATGTCTTTATATTTTAGGCAGTAACCGTTTTGATACGAAACGTAAAGTACTACACATTAGAAGCAGATCAATTAAAGACTCTTCTACTGTACGCAGAAGAGGACTGTCAGAATGACGAAAAACAGGCTAATTCGTTTTCTTTACTGAAAGCCATCTTGGAAGCTAAATTGGTTTCAAACGAATTGCACGAAGTTATGGAAAAAGTTTCTAAGATTTGTATTTTAAGTGAATCTGCTAGATCAAGGTAAATCTTAACATTATGGTACTAACATAATTATACTTATATGTTATAATAATAATGTCCTAACAGATTTCGGCTAAGGCGGCCAATGGACGACACTTGGACACTAGTGGTGAAAGATCATACAGACATGACACTTGGTCTCCGGAACCCTATCCTATAAATATAACCTATCAAACCGCCAACTTCCCAACTTCGTCCTTTTACTGAGGTTTTATTGACAGAAAACATCCAATAACTATACTTGACTGATATATCCATGAACTATACATGCTAGCTACTATTGACTAGACCAATATACATACATTATATAAGAACCTCCTCCTTTTCTTTCGGTTAAAAAGTAGTAATCTATAGAAACTAAGGAAAGACTGTCAAAATTATAGAAAACTGAACTTATGAAAATAATTGTATCATTAGATTTTTTATAATTTTACAGGGAGGAAGCTCGAACAATATTCGTCAACTATTTAACACATTATTCTCCCGGTAAAAGATTGGAGAAATACATACAATTTTTTGTAACTCAGTTAAATTATGAACTCCAACATGGGAGAGAGTCGTCATTAAAATTCTTGGATATGATCATCGGTAAACTTAATACCGTAAGTATCATGAATATTTTCACGAATTACCGTCTTTGCCGGCTGTTTTTTTAAATTGATAATCTTTATTCGTGTTAATGATAAATATTTTATTTATAAATTATTTTATGATGTATGCAAATATTTTATATTGAGAGCTTTAAAAGTAATTATTACTACATTTGAGTCGGGAGTTTTATGATTAGGTACAACCTACTGTTTGAAAAATCACATAAACCACTAAATCAGTGGTTGAATTGTATTTGAAATTCATACGAGGTAGCTAGTCTTCAGGTATAACAAAATCAAAGCATTAATAAAAGAACAATAAAATTCTAAATAAAACTAACTTATAGGATTTTTTTTCGCGGATTTTTTTTTGATTTACATTTTTGTTTTTTTTTGAAATCATTTTGGGATTTCGTGGGTAGGCACTATCTATAATAATCCGAGAGCTCGCGACGAATTTTGGGAAGGTCCTTTTGGCAAGTTGAAATTGTGAAAAAATATAATTTCGTGAATACTCAATATATTTATTGATGTGATTAAAATTTCAGATTGCCAAAAGTATGTTTTTTGGAATAAAAAAAAATGAGTCTTTGGAGTGGTCTGGCAATACTTTATGACCGACAAAAACGTCTGGGGTTCTTTTTTTTTTTGAATTATATGAAAGCTAAATTAAAGGATTAAACAAAAATCAAGTTGCCAAAAATATGTTTTTTTTTTGGATATTTTTTTTTGCTAATGTTGTATACTGCGCAGTAGCGAAATAACCGCTAAAGCTAATACAGACTCGCGGGACGGGACTCGCCAATTCACGAAATTATATTTTTTCACAATTTCAACTTGCCAAAAGGACCTTCCTAAAATTCGTCGCGAGCTCTTGGGCTATAACAACTATATAATGCTCTTTGAGTAGCCTAAACCCTTAGTTTTTCCCGTGACCATATTTAATTGCTGTAAAGCATTCGAAACGCTTCGTTTCACAATTAACTTAGATATCGAGTATCAACAAAAAATACAAGCTCAATAAAGTAACTCCTCCTTATTGAAGTCGAAGTAGAAAATAGTATTTATTTCTTATTTTATAGGATCAGTTGAAAAATCACGGGGACTTCATGTTCTTATCTCTCGGGGCGTGTATGATCAACGATAGTGCACCGGAGTGCAGGGCGTCCGCCGCCGCTTGTATTGAAGCGATTCTAAGCAAAATGACCCTTTTGGGCAGAAATAAGATGTTCGATTTGGTACTTGCCTTCTTTAAGGATAACCAGGTGGGTGATATGATATTAGGGTAGTTGTAAATTAGTTAAGTTCATATTTTTTTAGAATTAACATTTATTCGTTGTAATTCTTACTATTTTTCCTAGTTTTATTTTATTGGAAAATATAAATTTATATATTGTTATGTGAATTTTAAATACGTACGCGAATCTTGCTAATTAATAATATTTTTTATTATATTTTCAGCCAATACATTTCGAATTGGCCGCCCAATTAAGCATTCGCTTCGTAAATGTAGAAGGAGATAAATTCCAAAGTCGTCTCAACTCCATTCTTCCACTAGTGAGCGGCAAAATATTATTACTAAGTAACGACATAACAGAAGGCAGGTTCGTCAAAATAAAACTTGACCAAGGCGACGAAAAGACTGACGAAGATAAACAAAAGGAAAAAGACCACAGTTTAATACAGATGTTGAATCTTATAGACAAAATTACTATAAATTGTGCGTCTACTTTGAAAAATAAAAAATATTTTGCTGATTACGACGAAATCGGTCAGCAATGTAAAGCCTTATTAGCGTATCCTCATTCGTGGGTCAGATTAAAATCTGCTAAGATAATAGGCACGCTTCTAGAAGCGATTGATCCACAAGAATTAAATGATAAGTCTAAAGAAATTGAATGTGAAAGAGGCTTTATATTTGACGGTACAGAGGACTGCTTACGAAGTCTTACTTTAGATTTATGCGCACAATATACTCCTAACGTGTCAAAAGAAATGGCAGAACAGGTATTGCTTTTTCATCTATTATAGTTTAAGAAGGTGGTGATTTCTAATTATTCTGAGGTTTTAAAAGTACTATCTAATTTTTATTGATATTTCCATTTATTGTTATATGCATTAAAGCCTCTTGGAATTCATTTAGTGTCAGCTTCTGTTCAGAAGAATACATTAGTATTGAATAAACTGATTTGGTCCTTTGAGCCGGATCATACATAAAACTCAAAAGCCATAATATAAAAAATATATCATTTTTAGGTAACAGCGGTGTTGTTCCAAATACTAAAGTTAGTTCACGCGATGCCATGTTTCAAAATAATAAGTAAAAGTCAAGCAGATGAAGGAGACACGGAACAAAACGCGAAAGTGAATATTCGATGGATTCTATTCAAACTACGGAAAGCTGTCAACGTAGAAGTCGCTAAAGCGCCTAACTCGATGAATATTGTAAGTTTTGTCAATTTTCTTATGTCATTATAAATAAAATTTCTTTTCAAAATATCAGTTAGAACTCAACAAGTACATAATTATCTCTCATATTAGTATAGAGAATTAAAACTATTATTATTTATTATTATCGATTAAATTACCATATTTATATAAAAACTTAATGCTTAACTAAAATCCTATTGAATTTAGTACACATATCTTTTTACGATAAGTGAGTAAATATTTTGAATACGTACAAAAAACTATAAAATATTAAAAGCTATTTTATGACAATTTATAACTAAACAAATGTGTTTTTCAGAGGATAGCAATATTTACAATGTGGCTTCATCTCATAAGTTCTCTGGAAACAGAAGATCTTAACACCGTAATAGATATATTCCTGCCGGCGATTGTTCGAGAACTTTCCATAGGGGAAGGTTCTTCGTCTCCCGTAAAGCAATTAGCAGGGAGATTGGGTAAGAAATTGAGAAGGAAAGTCGGGGATATCGAATATAGCAAGATGGCGGCGGAAGCGCAGACACGGCTGAATGTGAGAAGAGCTGAGAGGAAGAAGGTGATTATTTTTTATTTATTGAAATTAAACTTCTTTTGGCACATTTGGAAAAAAATATGAGAGTAAAATTTTTACGCCGACAAATATAGATTTGAAATTTGTTACCCTAAAATTTATTACATACCTATATGGTTTTTTATATTATTTTTTATGAATCTATCTAATTTAATAGGAATTGTTTGAGAGTGAATTGAATGAGTTCTTTAGGATTTTTCTGTCTCTTGATATTTTCTTTGTGCTATGAGATCTTAAAAGTAACTAAAATTATTGTTTAATTTTAGATAATATTACAAGAAAAAGTAAATAATCCAGAGAGAGCGGCGAAAAGAAAACTTCAACTCAAAGAGAAGAAGAAAAAAGCAAAGAAAGTTAAATTGGAAATGTTGCACGGAAAAAGACCAAGAGCCAAAAAACGAAAGGCTGAAGATATGGATATTGAAGATGAATTATTAAAAGATACAGATGATTAAATTATTTTTAATGGTGTGTATCGCCTATTCATTGAAGTAAGTTTCAAACATCGGTGCGCTATTGGCGAAGACATTGTATAACAGATACAAAAAATATACTCGAAATCAGTGTCTTTTCCTTTTGGAAATCTGTCAAAAAGTATTGAATTAATAAATTATATAATAAATCTAATTGTAAGTATATAATGTAAACAACATTTTACAATATTTTCTATGGGCAGGTAATATTTAATGTTCCAAACTACAATATGTCCGCCATATTGAAAATGTTAAGGCAGAAGTGTTAAAATTTTGTCTTCAAAAAGGATAGAAAAATATTTCTACCTGTACATACTAGATGTAAAATAGCTAATAGTTATAATATTACGATATGTAAATAAATATTTTGTTATTTTGTATCATATTTTATTTAATATACCTTTACTTATTAATTACGTACCATAGAGGATAATCGTGTGACACAAATTTTAAAATATTATTGTTTTTGAATCAGTGTGTATTCAGCCCTTTTTAACGTCCCACTGCTGGGCACGGGCCTCTTTTCAATACGAGGGGGATTAGGCCATAGTCGACCACGCTGGCCAAGTGCGGGCGAACTGCACACTTCTTTCGGAAACTTGTTAAGTTCTCTCCGACATACAGGTTTCCTTATGATGTTTTCCTTCACCGCAAAGACAAGTTAGAAACCATTCGCACATGAAAATATCAGAGATACGAGACCCGGGTTTGAACCCGCTTCATTCGGTTTTCTAAGCGCGCGCGTTACCACTGTGCTACCACTGCCTTTGAATTAGTGTATTCAAACAAATCAAATGAAATTAGCTGTGTATAGCTATAAAAGTAACTTTGAAATCGTTTTAGTATTTCTTGTTAGATGCTAGTTCAAATAATATTTTCTGTTCCATAGAAATATCAAAGATCATAATATAAATAGGTTAAAACATTCCATTTCTGCTGCTAAAATTGTATTTGAAAAAAAAATAGATTAATGATGAAGGGATTAATAAAACTCATGTGAAACAAAATAATATTGCTTTATGCATTACAAAATTATTCAACTTAATTACCAACATAGAAATAAACTATATATCACGATATAAACATTGCCTCTGAAGGTGCATATAAGCTATATTTATTACTAAACTTAAAGTATTGTAGATGTAAGAAGGTTTATTTATAATATATAATAAGCTAGCAATGGCTACTGTATATAGTTTTGCCTGTCTGCATTTCTTTTTAATTGCCAAAATTATGATATCGCATTAACTGTTTTTTTTTCTGTACAGATTTACATTTGTATGTAGGTACAAGTAGTAGTTCTGATAAGAGATGCGTGGCTTTAATAACATTTAAAACATATTGCAATATATTTTTTCCAAATGATCAATAGATATTAGAAAATTTTGAACAATTTGCGATTTTATTTGCAATTTCTAATTTTATTCAATGGAGATAGTTTTGTACCGATTAAACCTACTTAGGTAAATAATCAAATCTCACGCGAGATTGGCACTAATTCTTCTTTACGTGCGTAATAATTTCAACAAAGAGATTTTTACAACATATTTAAATTAAATAAAATTATTTTTTCTTAAATTATTTTTGCTTTTTTTTAATTTTTATCTGGGGGCACGGCAGTACCCCCGCCAAGTCGAGTAAAAAAAGGGCACTGCAGTATTTATTTTCCTTACGTAAAGCATTTGAAACGTCACAAAAATCTGAAAAATAGTTTCATTTAAAATATCAGTATACCTATCTAAAAATGTATTATATTACATATTTTTTTATTTTTTTTAATAAAATTATAATTATGTATGCATTATACAAAGTTTTTTGTTTAATAAAAATTCAATTAATCAAAAATATTATAAAAATTGTAGCTGCTTTTATATAAACCTTCTTACATTAGTTCTTGTGCAAATTATTTTTAGAAAGAATATCGTAACGTGCAGTAAGTACTGTCTGAATTTGCTGGTAGTACTTGTAAGTACCTATTTAGATAACAAGTCCCTATTTAAATTTTAACCTGTTCACTAAAGTTTGAGCTTTAACCACTTTAAATTAATGTAGCTTAGGGACTTTCTTATATAAAGTAAATTACATATCAAGAGATTGGACATTATTTTTGATATTGTTTACTTTATATAAAACCTTATTTTTTTAAAGTACATTTAAAGAAGTATTATTATTTAATTTAATCTTTGGTTAATAAGTACGTTATTAAAGATCGTTGCCTTTCATTATTGTTCATGATAATTAATAATTACATACTACGTGTATGAATGGTAGTAAAAACTCTCTGGTTAACAGTCTACATTGTTAAAGCCTAGAAATTAATATCATTATAAAACAAAATAAATGCTGATTCAGTAAACATTTTTAAATGACTTCGCTATTTCGTTTCTACAGTGTTCTTTTTTTGCTATTGTATATACCTATTATTATAACATTTCGTTAAACTTTATATTACATCCTATTCTAACAAATAAACTATGAATGAACTAATCTAATATTTAACTCACAGCACCAACTTTCAAACAACTCTCAACTTTGTTATTCGTTACATAAATATTTATAGTGTACTGTGTATCTACTTGTATCTTAGAACGTAGAAGGCTTGCGAAGCTAAGGCGAAGGCGAACTTAAGGCAAGACGCTGAACTTTTTCAAATAAGTAGCTACATTAGAATACTTTGCAATAAGATACCTGTTTCACATTATGTTAAATAAAATATTTTTTTGTTCATAATTTATTTTCTTTGATGAAATCGTGGATATATTTACAATATATTTTTGTGTTAATTTACTCTTAAAACTTGTAAATAACGTTTTATCGTATTTATTGCGATATGCGCGAAATCTTTTAACATATTTACATGCACCACATAAAGAAATAGGACAATTATTATTTTTAATATATTGCACACTGCAAATATAAGTTTTGATCGAATCAATGAAAATCGAGATAGAGATAAATTTCATTTTTTTGTTATATCGTAATACTTAATTTTTTATGATGATCGGATATAATTAAGTAATGGTGCCTTAAACTACTTAGTACAAGATTAAAAAGATAAATTGTAGAGTTGCAAAATATAAAAAATATGAATTGCATTTTAAATATTTCAAATAGTATAACATCATAAGCTCAAGAGTGGCGGAAATAGTGCAATTGGACTAAAATAGCGAAAATGTAGGTATAGGCACCAAGCCGCACCTTAATGATAAGGACATTGAGGAGAATAAGGAGTTTCAATATAAGTATTATAATAAATAATTTAAAGATATAATGAATAATAGGAAGACAAAAAACATTTCGCTAATAATTGAAAAAAGAAGCCATCTTATTAAAAAAAATATTCTTATTTTTTTTCAAAGCATTTAAACCTTTTTTTACTTATAAGGTATTTTTAAATCTCAAATGCATATTTGCGAGGCCAAACGGAATATACTTTAGTGAATATAATTAAAATTACAATTTAGCAATGGACGGCAACAAGCTTGGCGGCTGCCTAAGCTAATAATTATGAAAGCCTTATAAACTAAAATATATTTTGAAAATGATATATTTTCCAAATATTTCAAGACTAGGTAGGCTGTTTGTGTTTAATCTTTATCAAATATGGCGGCGTAACTACATAATAAAATAAGTTAATTGATTAATGCTTTTGACGCATTTAAAAGCGTCTATGTAGATAGTTTAGGATTAATGTACTTACAATACTGGGATAATGGTAATTGACATTATATCGCAATCGCGTTTACATGGGGCTAAGATAATCATAAATATATATTAAGTATAATCAATATTTTATTTTTGTTTTTATTATAAAGTTGTAATTTTGGAGCTTAAGCGGTGACCGGAAAACGTTTTTCCAAAAACTTTTTTTATATAGAAGTATTAAGTTTCAGATTTATTATCTGTATTTATATTTTATGGTCCCTCCAGATAAAAGTCGTGAAGAAACCTTACATCTTGATCATTTCGGCGGCGCTTTCAATTCTAAATACAATATGTAGATGCATTTTACACCTACGTAAATTGGATTTTAATTTTAGGTTGCTTAATCTCAGATTTTGTTCATTTAACAATATTATGTTTAACATTTAATTTTAAAAATGTCGTTTAAGAATATCGTCTTTTGATAATCATTTCAACATTTCGAAAAAGTAGCGTTTCGTAAGTAGCATTAGTTCTACAGAAAGCCGCAAAATCTTCAAGTGAACTCGTGAATCGACACACCCAATACCCAATTATTATCCTCAAGGTTTTTTTACGAATAAACGTGAAAACACGCTTATACGGACTTTTAAAGGACATGAGCTTGATGCGGACATAATAAATATTTCTTATAGTTTAGTTTTATTATCATTATTAACATTACTTCTTAACATAAAGCACATAACCCCGTCTAAACACCAGTATTTCACAACATCATCGACATTATGGGATTATATCTCATTATTTTTGATAGTAAAATCCACAACAGCGATGACGTAGTCGCTAAGAATACGCCTCCCCAGCCTAGTTCTAAGGACCAGGAGGTTGTGAACTCCCGCGCAGATAGCAAGGGGAAGGCGGGGTAGCGAGGACCGATCACTCCATCGGCCGTATCTTCCACATGAGATGCGCTGCGTGTTGAAACTCTTTGTACGCGCTTGAAATGTATTATCATTAGCGTAAACATTGCGAAGAGACCTGAAAAAAAATTTTATCTTAACCAAATAACGTTTCTAAGGATAGAGACTTAAAACGTGAGTAAAGTGTGGAATACGATTTTATAAATGATGTAGATTTTTAAACATTATAAGAGTTCTTAATTTTAAAACACTTTCCCTATTTATCCCTTATATTTATCCCTTGTAAAGTAGATACTTCTCTACAAGTTACAACTGATCCATTCTTTCCGCTTACATCTTGATAGTGTTAAAATATTGTTTTAACCAAATTCGGTTGGTATAAACGTATTTGAAATTAAAAATTAATTATTTGAAATAAACAATAAACATCATGACTTAAAAAGTGTACTTTTTGCTTGGCGATTATAATCATTGACTTACCGGCTAGAAGGTACATAACACCAGTAACAAGCACAGCACTAATTTGGTGTTTACAAACGCCAAAGGCGCCGACCAATGCCGCACTTCCCAAAACTATGAGACACACCAATGCACACGATATGGATAGATTCTGCATACCTTTAAAAAAATATATTTTTTTATATAATACTTCCTTAGATTTACGCGAATATTTGACATTTTAAATAAAACTATCTTTTCGGATTTTTTCGCGGATTTATTTGCATTTTTGTTTCCCGACGTTTCGAATGCTTTTGTGGGTAGGCTGTCTGTAACAACTATATAATACCTTAGAGACATCTAACACCTCAGTCTCTCCCGTGACCATGATTGCTGTAAAGCATTCGAAACGTCGGGAAACAAATATGCAAATAAATCCGCGACAAAATCCGAAAAGATAGTTTTATTTAAAATATTTTTTTTTATATTATTCCTGGGCTATAATGTTATAAAAGTGTAAGCGAAATTTATTTATGTGTTTATATTTGGTACTGCACAGTGCAAAGGCAGTAAATAAAAATATAAATTGATTTTTTAACGGATTTTAACGGAATATCTCATATTTACTTAATGTCATACAGTTTTTTTACATTGTACTTTATTAATAGGTACATATTATAACACGCTTAAACTGTCAATTTTAACTATGTTTCTTACAATATATTCTGTTAAACTTACGATGTTGCCAGTCTCCTCTTTGCTCATCATTTTCATCATCAGACAAGTATTTTGTGCACAGTGGCTCTGTCGGAAAACCAGCTCTTAATAATATGGTTACTTCTTCCTCTAAAATGAAACACGTTCTTTATTGATAACAGATAGTAAATAAAATACAAAATAATAAAAATTAATTTTAAATAATATCAACCTTCTAACGAAACGCACATCTTCCAAATGCCCCCATTCATTGGAACTAAAAAAGTACCTCCGCCTTTCCGAGTGTTTGAATCTTCAATCTGAAAAGTAACACTTATTAGTAATTTAAAATAAAAAATAAATATTATTTATGTTGTAATTTTGAAGATATGAGTAACTTTAACGCTACATCTTTTAAAATTTTTTTTTTTTAATCGTCCATAATAATTGAAATCAATAAAATATTTTTAAACGAATCCTAAGATTGAGCTTTTTGACCCTATAACTTTAAATTTCGCTTTTTAAAGTAAGGATTCGAATCCGCTTTTGACTTGTCTAGTAATCTAGCTGTGTCAGACCGTAGTCCTAATAATACGTCTTATAAAACAAGTAGGTATAGGTATTAAAAGGAAAGGCGTCATTTTAATTACGTTCGTGCTCGAGTGCGTAAGAACATGAAGATTTCTTTGAAATCCCTACAAATCTAAGGTCTCTCAATAAGTCTTGAACTGTAATTTGAAATTCAAGAAGAAGTAGGTATTCTACAAGCTGTTGTAACAAAAGGCACAATGGATTCTGTAGTATCTGTGCATGCAGATTTTTAATTCAACATCAAAAAGTTCTAGCGTTTTCTACAGTCTAAAATGTTTCAACAGTCACTCAAAAATTAAAGTTTAAAAATGTTATTGTATTCATGAACCATGAACAAAAGAGAATAGCTTATACAGATCACCTTGAATAAAAATAGTTTTACAATACAAACTTCCCAACACACAATACAAAATTCTGTACAAAGAGAATTACAATCAATATTCTGAAATGTGAAGAAGTCTGTCATTGCTAAAACGAGTGACAAATAACTATTCAGTTGTCTCTTGACGACTACTACACTATTGTTTTGAGATAATTAAAACAAAATAAAAATATAAAATATCACTGAAATTACAGTTACGATGCCAAAGCCAAGCAGTTTCAAGGCTTTATTCTGTATTGCTTTCAGAAAATTACTAGTTTGGCCTTTGTTCAAATTGCTTAACAATTCTCTACATATACGTTATTTTCTTTATACATACTTATAAAACAAGTTGGACGTTTACTTCATAATTTATACGTATTACCATTATCATTAAATACGCCTGAAACGATAATGGACTTTATGTAAAAGCTTTGTACCTATTTATTTTGCAGTAGCGAGCCTTAGCATATTGTGACTTAATAAATTTTGATGCAACCTCGTATAGTTTTACATTGATGATGTTCTCCTAGCCGATTCCGGCTACGGCGGCTAATCTCATTGAGACTAGCCAACTGCGCAGGAGATATTATAGTGCACAAGTGTACGCGCATACACGACGTGCACTCTCTATTCCTATCACTCTCATACTCCGGTGGGACGACTACTCGACACGACCAGTGAGAGTTAAGGCGCAGGACCGACGGCTTTACGTGCTCTCCGAGGCCCAGGGGTGAAACACCGCCAACTTCCCAACGCCGGGGTGTTACTGAGGCTTACTATACAGAAAGACTCAATAACTAAAGTTGGCCCGACCCGGGACTCGAACCCAGGACCTCCGAGTGTGCAGCCGTACATGCTACCACTACACCACCGAGGCAGTTGATTGTTTTACATTAAATTCATATTAACATACCTACCTACTAGAGACTTATTACTTACGTATTTGATTCAAATGTTTTTTTTTGTTCGATTAGTTATTTAATCGAACACATTTAAAGATAGACGATATTTAGTCATGACCACAATAATCGATCGGTCGAGGAATACATATACATATCTCTGTCTATAAAAATACACTATATTTTTTTTGACTCGACTAAGAGAATCGAACCAGCAACGTTTGCTAATAATACGCATTTTCAATTATATATGTACACACCCCACCGTCCCAAGTATTTACAATTTAAGTATCTTGTTTTAATTCAACCTTCTTTACACTTTTACTACGCTAAAACTTATTTTAATGGAAGCGGAAAAAGTATAATTTATTTAAGCTCAAGATTGCGCAAAATTTATTTTACAAGTCTACATCTTGAAAATATTGACATTGATTAACGACGATGTTTTATTACGACGGTATTTCAAACGCCTTTTCCTCGATGACGCAATTTGTTAGGTTCTCAACTTAATGTGATGTTATATTTAAATTGTTGGTATATTAGAATAATTTAAATATTGTAAAATAAAGTTATCGTGTCAATGAATGACAATATAAAAATTAAAACATTATTGTAATACTTAAAATAAGAATAAAAAAGATTCCCACGAATTGAGAACCTCCTCCTTTTTGGAATTGGAAGTCGGTTAAAAAGCAATGGTAAGTATCTAGTGTAGATATCACTCATCATAGTAATACTACCATAAATATAAACATTTATACTAACATAACTTATATTATTTACTTTACTATAAAAGTTGAGTAAATACCTATCCACTTGTTATTTCTTGATACTCTAAAGTCCAAACACACCGCGCCCAGTACATTACCGGTCCGCACCCATTACAAGCTTTGTACGTTTATTTAACAATTTTATTTTATAGGTCCTACTAGCATTGCCCGCGGCTCCACCCGCGTTCAGATGACCAAAAAGAAAGTTCTTAGGTTTTACATATTAGTTATTGCAGTTTTTGTATTTTTTCTCAGAAATTAGATATTTTGCCAGGGTAAAAAGTATGCTATATGTTGACCCGGAGAACCAGCTATCACCATACCAAATTTCATCAAAATCCCTCTAGTGGATTTTCTGTGATGCGGTAACAGACAGACAAAAATTTTAAAAACTATAGATTCGGCCTCAGTATCGATAATAATGTCTATTTCAATAAGATTTTCCAAAAAATATTTAATGCACATCGACTTAGAATTTTATTATATAGATCTATTCTCGTATGCACGTACTATAAATAATATAATAAATAAATAAAATATTTTATTGAAACTAAATTCGAATTATTATTATATGGTAAAGTGAATATAACTTGAATTTTTAGTAACAGTAAGTACCTACATCGATCTTCACGCAAAAGCCTTTTACAGAGAGTAAATAAGAGTAAGTAAATAAAATCTTTAAATATATTAAATCAAATTGATTTAGCCATTTTTAGTAAATTTCTGCTTACACAAAATGATATTAAAAAAGCCTCACATATTAAACTCTTCAATAGGTTTTCACTTCATCCTTTATTCATGTGTAATTTGTCACACACCCTGTAATTTAGAAGTAGAGGTAAACCTCTACGCCATAAAACGTTAACCTTGAAATGGCTAGCGGTAAAAAAGCAAAGTGATTTTATATTGCTTTTAATGCCGTGGCAATGAAAATGCTACGTATAAATTATGCTTGTGGATTTGTTATATATGGCCATTTCACGTGAAGCGGACAACGAAAATACTCCTAGCGATGTGTATGTACTCAATATGCTCTAAGTCCTAAACTATTGGCGATCACGTTATAATTTTTTTGTGAAGAATTAAGATATTCAAAGCTTTAATTCAAAGTTAAAATATTGAAAAAATTATGTCGAAGTTACTCAAACATCAATTTGAAATCTTCACTTCCGGTTTACTATACGAATACGATACGATATTTATACGAATTGATTGATACAAATAATAGGCATTCAAAAAGTACGGATTTCATACTTTGTGAATTTTTAAAAGCTCAAAACTCGGCAATAAAGCCTCATACGAAAAAAATAATGTATTTGCACATCCATGTCCACTAGAACTATAACTGACCAGAGTATGAACAATTTTCACAACTTCACTTTATTTTCGTTGTCCGCTTCACGTGAAATGCCCCATTATATAGTTCGTTCAAGACGAGGCAAAAATATTTGTTACGTTTTCTGTATAGATGTTGTTGTTTAACAAAAATTATATAAAGGAAATATTGAATATTATACATAATATATTAATATAGACGTCGAATACGGTATTATACGGTTAATTAAATTGTAATGTGGAATTTTCCTAAGTTCGTTAACAAGTAAAGAATTAATTAAATTTTTAGTTATGGCTTTTATGAGTTCTAGCTGAGAGAAGAGAGAGAGGAATTTATTTTTTTATTTAGCTTAGAAAGAAAAGGCACAATGTAGATTGTTTGTTAAAAAAAGTCGAGAATCCAAATTCTATTATTCTATCATCGATCTTTTGGACGTAAAACAAGTAAGTCGAATAAACTTATATTTTTCCACCTATAATAAAAAGTTATGCAGGCAACCCTATTTGCACGTGATCAGAATCTCATGGGAGTAAAACTAAAATGTCAGCTTTTTGCCTTTTTTATTTTTTGTTGGGTTTTCATAATGTACACTTTGTATGATTGTGTCGTTTTAGTACATGCTTAAAACAGTATGTTCGTGTTAAAAAAGAGTTGTATGATTTTTATTTCCATTCCACCCATTCCACAAGTTCTTTATCATTTGCAACTGCGAAAATATTTCTTTTAACTTAGTGAAATATCCTCTTAGTGATTTAATAAGTAATGGAAACAACAAAAATTCTCCGGTCGACGAAATATGTTTTTTAGTTTATTATTAAGTCATAACAAAAACCTGTAAATATATGTAAATAGAATTGATTGGTGTTTTATACAAGTATAATAATTATAAAAAAAACTAATAAAAAAAACCCTACGCAAATTAATTGTCATTTAACGATTACACTGGCACGCGTGAAGCACTTTATCAAGTAATCATACGCCAAAATGCCTTACATCATTTTGGAAAAGAGCTGATACTCTTACACTACTGGACCGACATTAACCAAACATAGCTAAGAACCACCGCAAGGAAACTGGCTTTCAAATGATGAAAAAAAGGAATCGAAATTATCAAATATAAATCCATCCGTTTGAGAGCTACGATGCCACAGACAGACACACACACAAAGACAGACATCGACGTCAAACTTATAAACACTCCTCTTTTTCGGTCCGGGGTTAAAAAATAAAAACATAATTTTCTATAAATTAATAAAAATGTATACTAGTTGTTGGGTAGTGTGTAAACCTCATTATTGTCTATGGTTAATTAGTATTAAGAAATATAAAATATACACTTCCGTCTGGTCAATGGCTTCAA